ACTACTCTCTCTCTCTCTCTCTCTCTCTCTCTCTCTCTCTCTCTCTCTCGCACACACCCCGAATGCAAAACTATCAATACTTGCCAACTAGTGCTTTTCGCTCTCTAAAAATTCCTTTGCAAGCAGATTGTGCATTCTCTTCTCTTTGTACGCATTAAAGCAAAAGAATGACTTCTCTTTCTATATGTATATCGGAGCAATCAAAATGAGTGCTACTCTTTTTTTTTTGTATGAATACTATCCTTTTGGTTATTGATAGTCTTATTTATTGTTGGTAAAGGATATTAAAGTTGGATTCAAGAGCACAAGAAAGAGAAATATACAAGCCTGGTGATTGTAGATTCTATAATCAACTTCTATTGATTTGATGGTTACTTTCAATGTTCAAGAAAATGGGGGCAGCCACCTAGGGCAAAGGGTGGACAATATGTAGGCCCTTTTTGTTTTCTTTTGTTTGGGGGGAGGGGGAGGGGGAGGGGGAGGGGAGGAGGAGGAGGAGGGGGCGGGGGGAGAAAAGTGGGGGTAGGGGTTTTCAATTTTGGAATTTAATTACTTATAAGCTAAAATTTACATGTTTAAAAATATAAAACTTTGAACTTGCCCAAAATCTGACATCCCTTAGCGATTTAAGCGCAAATACAAAGTCACATAACATAAACGTACATCCATAAGCATTTCCAAAAAGTAATAACATAATGTAATACTCACAAAAATTATGAAACCCTAAACATAAACAATTAAATCTACTAACCTTTCCAAACCCAATCAAAGTAGGCTTTATCGCTTTCTTTCAGATGCCAAAATCTCTCTTTTGCAACCTCTTTCGTCTTGTGAAATCGAAATTTTCAAGTTCAAAATCAATTTAAAAAACAATCAATTCAAGCACAAAAAAAAAAGGTTTTTGGGTTGGAAGTCTCACTTTCTAGGGATTTGGGGGAACAAAATACCCCCATAACCTATTCCCCCCCCCCCCTCCCTGCCTTTTAAAGAGAGAAGAAAGAGGGAATGGCTTAAATATACATTTGGCTAGGGCAATTTCTTCCCTCCCCAAAAGGGCCCAAGGCAGGTTCCCAAGTGATAGGACCTAAGCGCCTACCCCAGCTGCTGGGCACGACTAGTCACCCGCCCTGGGCGAACGCCATGCCTTAGGCCTCCACATAGCCCCAGGGCAAGAAGGTGAGGCGTCCCAGCTGCCCTAGTAGCTGGGCAGTTGACTTTTTTAACATTGATAACTTCCACACTTTACTCGTTGGCCTGGTTTGGTTGGTTTCGTTAGATGCCTTGAGTAGAATGTGAGTTATTGGGATTTGAAGGCTTGTTTCTTTTATAACAGTTGGAATCAAAGGTTGGCTTATCAGGTACCTTCACTGCCAAATCCTTGTTTGGGGCTTCGGCTATGCATCGTTAAGCCAAAGAGAAGCATTCAAGTCTTACTATTTGAAGTAGTGGAAGATCGATTTGATTCGTAAAAAAGTATCATGTTGTCCATGTGAGGGAGACTCGCATTGATTAGGGCACATATAGTTTATGACATGTCTCTCTATGCTAAACTATGTTGTCAAAAGATTGGAACACTTAACAAAGAGATCTCCTTTCAAATGGGTGTGAGGGGACAAGGCATGTAAGCCAAAAATGTGAAGGTGATTTGGATATAACAAGCATTATGACGAGCAATAAAGCACACAATTGGGTCAATGGCTATGGAGGAGGCAAACGATATTGAGGGGCTTTGGGAGCACATACTTAGGGAACACAAGGCATTCACGATTGTGATTGGGGGATCATCCCCTTGTTAGATCAACTAGAATATAGTTGGGTTGGTAAGTTTTCAACCATATCGGGAGGGAGTTTTGCCATATTGTTGGGTTCTATGTTGGGACAGTACAAGTATTAGGTTCTAGAATGCGATATGGTGTGGTGAGATTTTCTTCTTTGCTTCCGAGAGTATTAGGATAGCTTTGTAGCCTAAGGTTAAGGTGATTGAACTCTACAAGGGGATGGGTTGTGTTATTTTGTGGCACCATCAATTTTTTAGGAGATCCTATAGATGACAATCTTAAAGATTTTTTTGCGGCTTCTCGGTATTATGAGCAGATTAAATCGGTGCCTGAACTCATAACACAAGGACATGGAAATCAGAGAGTCGAGGAGCTTTTGTAAGAAATCGTCACACGAAATCGATGCCCTTCAACATTGCCACTGACCCTCCATATCCACTTGCCTAATAGTGTGTGTATTGACCATCCTAATGCTTTTGATGTCCATATCAGCTTCACATTTCCCAAATTTGGGTTTTTTGGGTGTTCTTGTCCTTCCTTTTCTTTTTCCATTTTTGGGTTTTTTTTATTTTATTTTTTTTTTTTTGGTTGGGAAGGGGGGGGGGGGAGGGGGAGGTTTGGGGGAATTCCACAGCTCGTTGTAGGCCCATGTAGTGAGAATTAACGCTCTACCCAGGGTTATCTTATAGGGTCATCTTTAAGGCTTTGGCAAGGAGGATATTTGTCAGGATCAGCTTTGACGATCTGTTAAGGGAGTTGAGTACCATCATTTATGAGCCATGAGCAATGTCGACGGGTGAAACCAGTGATGAGATGGTTAAAGCTAAGTTTTGATGACACTATGCATGGCAACTAGGGACCAGTAGACTTGGGGGGTCATTAGAGACAAATAAGAGACATGCCTAATGAATTCTTCTGGCCCACTTGGTTTTAAAAGATTCACCTCATGATGAGGTGAAATTTGTACTCAGAGGCTTTAAGCTGTCCATTGAGCGGGGCATAGCAACTTTGATAGCTGAAGGTGATTGCATAAATGTCCTTAGATGGCCATGCAAATAAATGCCAACCCGTAGAATTATTTATGTTTTTTTAGGAGATATTTGACGTTTGTAGTTCTAGATGTATCTCCTTTTTGTCCAGTTTATCATATGGCTTATGTAAATAAGAATGCCCTAGCATGAACCATGAGTTTATACTTGTGACTAAAGAGAGTTTAGACCCTCGCCAAGATGCCACCTAGAGTTGTACTTACGAAACAAACAAATAAAGGTCAATAATCACACTAAAAGATAAAATAATGAAACAGTTTTGCCACTTCAACAGCTCCAATTACAAGCTCCCCCTAATTTAATTATAGCACGCATACATCAAATCAACTACTAACAAAGTATGTATCTTTAATCTTGGAGTCTTAGGGAAGAAGTTAAAAGTAGATTCCATAGATAATGAAGACAACTATATACCACTCTAATTTGCCCACAAATAGAAAATGTTTTTTAGAAGAGGAGTTTGTAGAGCGTCAGAAGCACTGTATTACTTGCATGGTATATTGAATACATTAAGGACACCCACATCTCATATGAAAAGAGAATGAACCCTTTCAAAGAGAAAACAAAACAGATCCTTTAAGGAAGCTCATTTAAATATTTTCTGTGTGTGTCCATGATTGTCCCTTTCTTTGTTTTTCCTTTTTTTAAGACTTTTCATTATTTTTTCACTATTTTTAGCTATTTTCGAGCTCACTAGGACTCATAGGCAAGTCGACTTGGACTCACTTGAGTTACTAGCTCAGGTCAGTGGCCAAGTTTTGAGCCGAGCTGGGGTGGGGGGGAGGACTTGAGATAATGCATATGCTATTATTCTATGTATCAGAGTATGTAAAATATTTGTTGAGTTTGTAATATAATGAGGGTATCTAAACCATTTAATCATTCTTTCATTTGCATTGCATGTTTTGGAGTTTGGAAAAGGAAAAGCATATTGTCCATCAGTACTCCAAATGGGTTTATTAACATTGACGTATGGTGGAAGAGGTAGATTTCTGAGCTCATAGTTGTGCTCTTTTACATAGCTAGAATATTCATTCACACTTAAAACGAGAAGATAGCTAAAAGCAACATGAAGCCATAAAGCACTACAAAAAAAAAAACGATTTCTGATCAGCCAAGAAACAGTCAAAAGGGCCATTGCCTTCATAACCCAATCTATTATGGTGTATGGTGTTGATGTATTTTGGTTCCTAGCTCAGGCAATCTGTTACTTCACCAAATAAAGAAAAAAAACGGAAATAGCCATCACAAATTAGAAGTGCTAAGACAATTGAATCATGAGGTTCCATTTCCAAATGCCAAAAGAAAAGGTAAAACAAAAGGACAGACTCAAAGAAATCAAACAACAGCTAAAATAGGGACTTTACACCAGACAACATAACAGCAGCCCTGATATCTGCATAAATAACCAAATGGGGACACAAGTTCGAGGGGAAGAGAGAGTGAGTACCACAAGAAGAAAAAAAAAAAAAAAAATACTGTCGAGCACCATTGCCAAGGAGTGGGGAATGGTAACACACATTGAAAGTTATTCTGAAAACACTAGCATCACAAAGTAACAGTAACTACATGTAGAATCCTAACAGGGATCATGAAGAAAGAAATCAACATGCCTATAGACAATGAATGGAAGAAAAACTTATTCCGGAAAACATCTCCAGTGACCAATCAAACCAAAACACTATATCAAGAAGCAAATAGGCAATCATCAATTCACTAATTCCCATACATGACGATATGATCAGTGATTACCTACAAATATGAAACTCGAGAACAAACGCGACCAACCTGTTTGATGATCTTGTCTCTGAGTTCATCGGTAAGGACAGGCTTGGAGGAGTAAGTAGGAGGAGTTCCAGCCGTGTCTGAATGGCCTGCATCTTCATCAAACCCTAGATTTTCTCCCATAATTTCCACAACAGATAGAGACCGCACTATTTCCGGGTTAACCTCGCCATCATCATGGCCTTCATCGTCAAATTTCAATTCTTCATCCGTAGGTAATCCTAGGGTTTCCCGATTCTCCATGTCATGGATATCATCTTCAACCCCTAGACTTTCTTCCATGGCTCCTACAACAAGATGAGTCCCAAGGATTTCCAGGTTCTCATGGCCAGAAACAACAGGGCATGCACCTTTCCCCAAAGCTTCTTCTCCTTCCATTTCTTTGGAACCATTTTGGAGGCTCAGGGTTTCCTGGTATTCATCCACACGTGTCTGTGGAGTCTGCGCACGTGGGTGCAAGATTTCAGCCATAGCTTGAGCCACGCCCCTCTACTCCTGCTTCACACTCCCCACCAAAACACTTTTTAAAACCCTGTTTCTCAGGCCACGTGGCAAATTTCTAAGTTATTCACGCGAAATTTCGGACAAAATTTAGTGTGCCAAAAAAAGTACTGAGGAGAAAAGGGGAAAATGTACCGATAAGCATTTTGCATGGAATTTTAAAGAAGGGAAAGTATAT